AGTATTCTATTTGTATTCATCACTGGGTTGTCAACGCAACAATGAAAATAACAGCGTTGGGATAGAAAACAGAGCGAAATAACGAAAATCACATTATCGCGATTTGGTCTTTTATTTGGACTGCGATCTGTGCTGCTTGTCCACCACAAAACCAACCAATTGAGGTGCTAATCAAAATTGACTGAATATGTAAAGCAACGCAACTTGGTGAATCAGCACGTTTTCAGCTATGGACAATCATATGAATAGATAACACTAAATGTATTTAACAATGTCCGAGAAGGAAAGGCAGTTTATGATATCTCAACGGTTTATATTTGAATCTAATGACCACGGTATCACATGATCCAATGGTTACATGCTTTTGGGGCAAGATTAAATAGGTACGACGTAGTCTGAGTGCTTGCTCAATATCCTTCTGAGCATAGACAGGAGTTTTCTCTTGTTTGGAAATACTTATAGCCGTAGTTGTAACTAAAATAGAATACCTAACTACCCTAGCGAGCTTTGCTAAATAGACCGAACCGCTTCCCACATGCACCGAGTAGTTAGACCTACTGAGGTGCGCGCGCGTCACTCGTGTTCATTCAGGCTGGGTGGTGGTGCGTTCATGAACGCGATCGCACAGGGGCCTGGCGGCGAGGCCCATTTGTCTGATTTCACACAAGCTAGGAAATGAATGCATACAGAATAGGAGAGCAGAATCTGATACTCCGGTTTACAGTGGAAAACAAATAAGCGGTTTTGATGTGCATGTGATTTTCAGTTGTAATAAAATGAGTTGCATCAAAGATTGATTTTGTAATAAGTCAATGTTTTGCTTCCTTTTTGTTTATTTATTTTTAATACACAAATTTACGGTAAACTTTCAGGAAGGGGTCTCGGCCATACAAAGGCGGCCCGGGGAAATGCAAAATTGAGGAACACAGGACATGCAGGTTGCTAATTTGTTGACCTTAGCCACTTGACTACCGTCCTGTGGACAAGACTCCGCCGCTACGGTCCACGACATTCAGCTGTATCCATGGAAGTCTTTTACAAAATGGTGCTGTAGGGTTTTTTTTACCTCATCGCGGCAGTGGCCTCGTTTATTGCTTCCCGGGGTCTCAAACCTTCCCGTGATGTCATGGACAGGTCGCCTCAAATATGTTCTGGCTAGTGTTGCGCGTGCAAAACACAACCTAGTGGACGAAACAGTATTTATAAACAATAATATTATAATAATTTTCTACTTTGTTTATATCGAAGGCGTCTATGCACGAGTTCCAGTTCCATCAAGGCGACTGAACTTTTCACAATTTCAACATAAGGCTTCAATATGCTAAACAAAAATTCTTTCATATCTTTTGTGCAGTACGTTCCACAGATCTTTATCTCGCGCAGTTTGCAGCGCTCCGTGGTCAATAAGCATGGTGACAGTAAATGCATGTCGTGTCTAATTCCACCTCATTGTATTTGGTAGATGTGCATGCTTGTGGCGAAGTTCGAACGCCACACGCGCCAAGTACGCAGCGTGAAAGACGTGATCTTACAATCACAGGTTACAGAACAACTGTGCAAACAATTTTCAAGGATAGGGGAGCTGTGACTGATCAAAGACTACCTGGTGACATACAGAAATGGAGAAGGGGCAGGAATCGGGAGCTTCGATGTGTTGACGAGCCCTAGTCACTTGACCACTATGCTTTCTGATGTGTGAAATAATTTTACTGACTAGGCCTTGACCTGATACTACAAAATGCACACGAAAATACTATGAAAAATTGTCTAATCCTCTAAATAAAGTTACCGATGTCGCTAAACGGGATGATTGAATCATTACATTCGTGCTTATTTTGCCCTCTGGCTGTCCAGTCCAGACAGTTGATGTGGATTGTACAAAAGCAGCACTCCAAACTGCCCCATCATCCAATAGCTGCCTGGTGGCCAATTGGTTAGGTCACTAACTTGTGACCTGGGGGTCCTGGGTTCGAACCGCTCCACAGCCGCCCGTCTTCCCTATTTCTGTAATTTCCCAGACAGCCTTTGTATGACCGCGGCCCCCTTCCTAAATGACTGTACATTTGTATGTTTAATAAATAAAAAGGGAAGTAAAAAAAAAGAAAATATTATTATTATTAT